TGATCCGTGCTTCAACTTGGTTGATTGCATCTTCAATCTTCTTCTTGTCCCTTTCAGAAAGCTTTGAATGAATATCCTCATCACGCATAGCATTCTTGATCTTGTTTGTAAATCCCCTCAAAACATTCTTTGCTTCAACCCTTTTCTTGTGAATCTCTTCATCAGCCCTATATTGCTCGGCATCTTGAATTGTCTTTTCAATTTTATCGGTCCCTTCACTACTCATTAATACAGCAGCTTGAACAGCAGCACCATAAGCAACGACCTCATCAAGGTTGATGCTCCTAGAAAGATCCTTCCCATGGAAGAATTGCTGCAACTGTTGTTGAATTCTCGGAACTCTTGAAGATCCTCCAACAAGGACAATGTCATGAACATTTTTTTTTTCTATCTTAGCTTCCAAGAGACACCTCTCTACAATTTTCAGACACTTATCAAAGATGTCCTGGTTCAATTTCTCAAACTTACCACGAGTGATTGTTGAATAGAAGTCAATGCCTTCAAATAAAGCATCAACCTCAATGGTCGCTTCAACAATGTCTTCTGATGAGAGTGTTCTTTTTGCCCTCTCACAGGCAGTTCTCAGCTTCCTAATGGCCTTTGAATTTCCTTCAATGTCTTTCTTAAACTTCTTCTTGAACTCTTCCACAAAGCGGCTCACCATTCTATTGTTGAAGTCCTCTCCACCAAGGTGAGGATCACCATCAACAACTTTGACTATGATATTTCTTTGGTCAATTGTGAGAAGAGACACATCAAAAGTACCTCCACCTAGATCAAATAAAAGAATGTTTCTTTTCTCAGCAGAACTATTTTTCAAGTTGAAACCATATGCTAAAGCTGCAGCAGTTGGCCCGTTGATTATTTGTATAATGTTGAGTCCAGCAATTGTGCCTGCACTTTTTGTCGCCTGACGTTGAGAATTGTTGAAGAAAGCAGGCACAGTAATAACTGCGTTCTTCACTGTTGAACCAAGAAATTTCTCAACATTCTCACGCAACTTTGCTAGAACCATAGATGAAATTTCTTCTGGAAGAAAATGCCTCTCACGAGGTATATAATTTACAATAATCTCAAGCTTATCATCAGCACTTGCAATGACTTTAAATGGCCATAGCTTCATATCACTCTGAACAGATGAGTCACTAAATTTTTTGCCGATTAGCCTCCTTGCATCTACAAAATGGTAATGATTCTTAATCATCAATGGATAGACCCGTAGTAAAAACAAAAAAAAATGAATAAAAAGTTTTCATGAATAATAATATATATTTAAAAAAATGCAAATATCAAATCAGATGTGAAAAGGTGAGAGTTACAACAGATTATATCTGATCTTCTCATACAATATAATCAAATCATTTCCGCCCAGACGCTCAAAATTAATTAGAATTATTCTTAAAATTTTTCAATTTGATAACTTTTTCCTCTTAGAAAAAATTGTTAATATGAGTTAGTTCTACCAAAAAAAAATTGAATGGCTTGGATCTCATAAATAAAATCATTACAATTATTTTGATAATAACAAGTCAAAAGGACATGCAAGATTCTGGAAAAAATTTTAAAATGTCATCAATTTTTTCGTTTTTATTCATTTACTTATTCTCCAAGGGATGCTAAACTTTCAACTTAGTTCACAGCAGCAATTAATGAGAAAAGAACAAAGGAAAAAAAAAAAGACGAAGAATTACCGAACACAGTGTTAGTATGATTAACTACAACCTGACTCAGCCGCATTACCGATCATCGTCTGAGTATCAGTGAAGGCAACACAACACGGCGTCGTTCTGTTGCCTTGGTCGTTAACAATAATCTGTACTCGATCATGCTGCCATACTGCAACACACGAGTATGTGGTTCCAAGATCAATCCCTAAAGCCAATTTCTCTGATCTGTCACCCATTTTCTTTTCTTTCTCGAGCTAATGGAATTCTAATTCTACTACAGATTCAGAAACTCTGAGTCTGAGAAGAAAGAGCAGTTAAATTTATATAGGCAAGCGTTCGCAATGAGATGGATGTGGAAAGCACTTGATTAGACTTACGAGCTAGGAAGTTGCCTCAAAAGCGTAAGCTAGCAATAGTCAAGTGGTCCTGTATTATATTGGGGAAGTTGGAGAAAAGGACTTAATAAACAAATTAATTGTAGGAGGACATAACTTGCAGAACATGGAAGAAAAAAATGAAAAACTATAGAAGATAAAATGCAGATTGTGTAAGAAAAATTAAATTGCAAATTCTGAGCCTTGTCCTTTTCTCCAATTAATTTGCTTATATATTTGGTTCTTTACCACAATTGTCCCTATTATATTTTGAGAAAATTTTTCATGAGATCAAAAGTAACAAATATTTAAACTTCCAGACATTGAAATAAAACCTGCAATAAACTATGCTGTTTATATATGTGGAGTTTGACTAATCAAATAACTATATTTGAGAACTCTCTTCATGCAATGTAATCTGAAAAGTCTTTTCAATCCATTTATCTTCAGTGAGAACTTCTCTCGCAGTCCTATGGAGTAGGACTTTTTTTTTTTTTTTATGGTTGTAATTTCCCAAAAGTTTTCTTTTCAGTATTTACTTCGAGCAAATTTCTTGAAGGTCAGAGGAATTTAGGAATTGGCCCCCTGTTTATACCTTGATTTTTTTAATTAAAATTTGTCCTTTCATAAAAAAAATTATAATTGATTTCATATTTTAATGATTGATGATGACGTAAACACAGCTTGTTGGATTTTCATGAGATCTGGTCTGTTTAATTTGTTTAACCCACATTGGGCAATGTAATTGCCATAATCATATGGTCTGATTTGACTTTGACAAAATAATTAAGAAATACAAGTGTAGTTTTTGTTATCGAATAATAACAAGGAGAATAATAGTTATTTTTCTGATCATATTTATATGGTAAAGAGAGAAAATTAATGTTGATCTTATTAATAGGGTACTTCACTATTTTTTATGTTTATCTTTACTTTTATACCCTTAATAAATGTTAGAAGCAAAATTACTAAAAATAATTATTTTTTTCCTTATTAGGGATAGATTTGAAAACTTATTAAATTTTAAAATAAAATTAATAAAATTTAAGGTTTTTTTATTCTAATAAAACATGTTGGAAATGAGGTGATCCATAGGACTGAAGAGAGTAAATTGTAAACAATACGATGACAGTTAAATTTTAATAAAAATTTTATAATTCATTTTTTAAAAAAATTTTACAAAAAACCTAATTTTTATTAATTACTTCTTTTAAAACTTTACTGGAATTGTCCCATAATAATAAAAGCAATAATTCACTTGTTTTTATTAAGAAAAAATTAATCTTATGGTCCTTATAACTTTTACTTAAATTATAACTTAATCCTTAAACTTTAACTCATTATAACCTAATCCTTATGATTTTAACTTAGTTGTAACTTAATCTTTAAATTTTGACTTGATGAAACCCAATCTTTATAATTTTAGTAATTTAAAATATTAGTCTCTATATTTTAAAAAATATAATTATACAACTAAAATTATTTAAAATTTTTTTTCTTTATAAAGATTAAAAGTTTTAGTAATTTAAAATAATAATCCCTAATTTGAAAATAATTTCAGTATTTATAATTTTATTTTCAAAGATATAAGGACCAATATTTTAAATGATTAAAATTATAGGAATTAAATTGTAATAAGTTAAAGTTCAGTAATTGAACTAAAATGGAGTCAAAACTATGAAGAACGATTTAGAGTAAGTTGAAATCTACAAATTGAATTATAATTAAGTCAAAAGTAAAAGAACCAAAAGATTAATTGTCCTTTTTATTAATTGTGAACGTCACATGATGAAAGGCACCAAGGTAAACGGTGATGGAATTCAAGACGCAAGCAGTATATATATGGGTTTCTCATGCATTGACCGGTTCTTCTTCTTCTGATTCTTCTTTTTATTAATATCTTAGGTCTCATGTGAAGATGGGTTCACCCATCTACATATTTGTTTGTTTCTTAAAAACGTAATCAAAAGTAACAATTCAATTCTACATAATTAGGTTTCTAATTTTCTTCATATAAGAGAGGGTGATTATTAGAGAATTGGTTACGGAAAACCGCAAGAGCCTTGAAAAGTTTGGAGCAGACATTAATTTTAGGGTCTTTATTATTTTAAAAAAGGCGAAGCCTTTGAGAATTTTCAAAAATTCGGCCGTCAATACTAGTGTGGTAAGTGGTAACTCTGGTATTTGGAAAAACCATTTGCCCAATTTTTTTCATCTCAACTAAGACTTGCACAAGTTGTTGCACAACTGTTGTTGGTGACCTCCACAAGCTCCATATATAATCACTTCTGACGTTGACCAGTTCTTCTGAAACCATACGGCTAGAAAAGAAAATCAGAGACTCGTTAATTCAGGTCTATTTGCAAATTAAGGAAACACGCTTTGAACATGTTTAATTACATTAAAATATTAATTTGATCGAAGTATATTCGGGATCCCATAAATAATTGACTACTATTAAAACCAGACCAAAAATGTCCATGACTAACAAAGTCAAGACTTTATTAGAAGGTAGAAGCCCTCTTGGATCAATTATAAGTTAGGCTGACTTAATAAACCTTGGATCAATTCCTAAGTAAAATTAAAGGTTTGAACCCTGTGGATATGTGGGGGAAAAATCACGTTAAAAAAGCTATAATTAATTAAATATATACGATCATATTTGAATATACACTTATACTAATACCATTTAAATGCATGTATTGGGGGGAAAAACCGGAAACTGGATCGTTTGGTTCGAGCTTATTGAGAGGAAACCAATAATATGGCGTATTGGTTAGCTAAGCATAACTCAATAAAGGAAATTGTGATTTTAATTGATACACTAAATGTGGACACCTTTTTCAATAGATATTCAAACAATGATTCATCATACTGTGAGAATTAACATCTTCTACTAGACTCAACTTCCATTAGTTATTATTTTATATATTTGATAATTAATGGTGCTGTGGCTAGAAATCATATCCTCACTTGTTTAAAAATAAGAGCTAGTTAATAAATGCACACAATCATCCAAACTACTTATTCACTGTGATAACTGACAAGGGTAAAGATGCTCTCAAGCTTCCTAAACACATTCAGACTCGTCAACTTCAGAACACATGCATGAGAGCAACTTCTGCAAACCACTTCTGATGAAGCCAAGGTAAGGCCTTCTACAAAGAAATGACATTATCAGTAAATCATAAACAGAATGCATAAAGTACAGATATTGTTTTAGAAAATCAGGAAATGCGAAATTTCCAAATGCTTAACAACCTGATGAAGAGGAATCAAAAGCAGAAGCCATCCCAATAAAATCACCAACAACGGCTGAGATCGTTGCATGCAAAGCAATTAATGCCACAGAGGCTATGACTTTGACTCCGGTTTTTCTTTCTGGTTTAGTATTACTTGGGCCAGCACCAGAGCCAGCATCAGATTCTTGTCTCTTCTTCAAAATAATGCCTCTAAAGATGCTCTTAAGCTCTCTCTTCTGATGCTTATACTCATCAACTTCGGCAAGCTGCTTGACATGTAGCCACCGTAAAGCCCCTTCAATTGCATCCTCGATCTTCTTCCTGTCTACAGAGGAAAGTAGTCCCGAGCCAATCACCTCATTATTTAGAGTAGTCTTGACTTTATATATGTAGTCCTCCAAAGCGTTCTTTGCTTCAATTTTCTTCTTGTACCTCTCATCATCGGCCTTGTATTTCTCCGCTTCTTGAACCATCCTTTCAATTTCTTCCTTCGATAGTCTTCCTTTTCCATTGACTATGGTTATTCCACTCTTGTTCCCCGATCTAATTTCTTCTATAGACACATTTAAGATACCATTCTCATCAATGGAAAAGCAAACTTTGAACTTAGGAACACCCTTTGCTTCTGGGGAAATGGTCAGGTCAAACGTATCCAGCCAATTGTTATCATTTGCCATTGGTCTCTCACCCTGGAAAACTTTAACACTGATTAATGTTTGGCTATCCACCACAGTAGTACATTTATCAACCCACATTGTTGTAGGAATGCTAGTGTTTCTTGGAATTACTACTTTCATGAGACCACCACGAATATGAAACCCTAAGGACAATGGGGTAACATCTCTCAAGAAAATTCCTGGTAAATTTTCAATTCCTTGCCCACTTAATATGGCAGCTTGAACAGCAGCACCATAAGCAATAGCCTCATCAGGATTGATGCTCCTGCATAGATCCTTCCCATTGAAGAAGTCTTGTAATAGCTGTTGTACTTTAGGAATTCTTGTAGACCCACCAACAAGGACAATTTCATCAACACTGCTCTTGTCCATCTTAGCATCCACAAGACACTTCTCTACAATTCTCAAGCACTTTGTGAAGAGGTCTTTGTTCATTTCCTCAAACCTAGCACGGGTGATTGTTGAATAAAAGTCAATGCCCTCATATAAGGCATCAACCTCAATGGGTGCGTCAACAATGGATGGGGATGAGAGTACCCTTTTAGCCCTCTCACAAGCAGTTCTCAACCTCCTTATGGCCCTTGGATTCCCACAAATGTCCTTTTTATGCTTCCTCATGAACTCTTCCACAAAGTAGTTGACCATTCTATTGTCAAAGTCCTCTCCTCCAAGGTGCGTGTCACCATCAACGGCTTTAACTTTGAAGTCGCCCTTGCTAATTGTAAGGAGAGACACATCAAAGGTGCCACCACCGAGATCAAACACAAAAATGTTCCTCTCATGGTCATAACTATCTTTCTTGTCAAGACCATAGGCAATAGCTGCAGCAGTGGGCTCGTTGATTATTCGCATAATTTTGAGGCCAGCAATTTCACCAGCAATTTTAGTTGCTTGACGTTGAGAATCGTTGAAGAAAGCAGGAACTGTTACAACTGAGTTTTGCACCATTGAACCAAGAAAAGTCTCGGCTATCTCACGCATCTTGGCAAGTATCATAGAGGAAATTTCTTCAGCCTGAAAATGTCTTTCTTGTGACTTAAAATTTACAACAATTTTAGGCTTGTCATCAATCCCATCTATGATCTTGAACGGCCAAAGTTTCATATCACTCTGAACAAGGTGATCACTGAACCTCCTACCGATTAACCTCTTCGCATCTACAAAATAGTTATGATTAAAATATATGAATTTCTTTTGCCAATAAATAAAATGAAAACATAATTATTGATCCTTGTATTTTATTTTTATTGCTATGAGTCTTTATAGTTTTTCTCATTTGCAATATTATTCCTTCTATTTTTAAAGATACCCAGAGAGATGACAATGTGGCACTAACAATATTAAATTAGCTGACGTGTAACTAACAATATTAAATTGAATATTAGAATAAAAAAGAAAAAGATAGAACAATCACAAAATACAGAGTGAACGAATCCAATGCAAAGTTGAAGAGACAAGCTTGAAGTCTGTAAAAATGAACGAAATAAAACTTAAACTTCAACAAGTAGTGAAATAATGTTAGTTACATGTCAGATAATTGAACATTATTGGTGTCATATTATCATCCCTAGCATATTTAAAAATAGATGAATTAATAATATAGATGGGAAAAACTATAAGAACTTGGAACAAAAAAAAAAGTATAAGGATTAATAACAAAACATGATAAAACTATGTGGACCTATAATTATATTTTCTCATAAATAAATAATGACTTACATGTAGACCGCTCCCCAGAAAATGATCCATGAGAACTAGAATCAGGCTAATAACGAATGAAAGAAGATGAGAAAAGAGCTTTGTGATTGAGTTGTGACTTGGTTAACAACCAAAAAGGAATCATTTAAGTTATGTTACGACCAAGTTTTGAACTTTGTGAACAAGAAATATATAACCAACGAAGTCAAAAAAGAACGTAAAGATGAATTACCAAAAATAGTATTAGTAGGATTTATTGCAGCCTGGTTTTTAGCAGCATCTCCTATCAGTCTCTGGGTATCAGTGAAAGCAACCATAGACGGCGTCGTTCTGTTCCCTTGATCATTCACAATTATCTCAGCTCGATCCTTCTGCCACACTGCAACACACGAGTACGTAGTTCCAAGATCGATTCCAATGGCCGGTTTTCGCCCTCTTTCACCCATTTTGTTGTTCGCAGTCAAATTACTTCTTGGAAGAAATTCAGAGACTAAACCTGAGAGGAGAGTAAATTAGGTAACCTTTCGTGACAAAGCATTTCACAGAGATATATATATATATCGTTTCTTTTAAATTTTGGGGTAATTTTATCAAAATTAATTCCCTTGGAAGTTTAAATGAAATTGCAGTATTGGTTATGATTCTATGCCGTCTACTGCATTGTTTTATCTGAGAGCAGCTAGTGTGTGAACTTATCACAAGGTTAAAAGTTTATCAGAATAGTTGGCTCTGCCCTTAACCTTTTGTAACCGGAAGTTATCAAAACAAACAATTCTAGCTGTTATTTTCAAAACCATAAGTCTACTTTGAGTCACTTGCAAAGAAACTTCGTTCCCATGATGAAAATTACTCACCAAGGATTGACAAGGAATATTTGATTTTAACGTGTGTGTATAATTTTTATCCGATACACACTTGAGGTGTTTAATGTTTCCCACAAACTAGGTTTTTTTTCCTAGGAAATAGAATATAGTACATAATTTTAACGTATATTATAGAATTGTTGAGTTCGGAGTAAATATGTATGTTCTTTTCAAAATGATCATCAAGCATTTTTTTGAAATGAATTTAGACTAAAAATTAAAATATTTAGACTAAAATTTAAAATAGTTTAATCTAAAAAAATAGACAAATACTATGAAGTACAAATATGAAATATATGTTTATATTTTCAATAAAAAAAATCATGGAGATTAACAAAAGAAATCACTAAAGATAAAAGTAAAATATAGAGAGAGAGAGAGAGAGAAGAGTTGTGAACTTGAGCCAAAATTAAGAAGAGATAGACAGTTTTTAAGTTAGAAATTCTCATAGTTTAGATAATGCTTTTTGTATCTTTGATCATCTTTTAAGTTTTCCTCAAGAGTTGGAGAATGATGAGGGATCCTGCCCCCAGCGTTGAATATTTTGTACTGCCTGTTAATGGCATTTTGATTAAAGTTCATGATCAAAAAGGTTAAAAAAAAAATCAGAGAGAGAGAGAGAGAGAGAGAGAGAGAGAGAGATGGATGGATGGGTCATGCTGTGCTAACAAAAGTGGGTCCCACCTGGTGTGGGTTGAAAGAGGGAAGGAGTGGGATGGTCCAACACAAGTTCAAGTTGTTTCATTGGGCCTCTCGTTTTTACATGGGGTCTAAGTTGAATTGTGTTTTTGGTTTTTTTAATTCAGTTTCTTTTTCTTTCTTTCTTTTTTATGTTTTTAGATTTTAAACTAGAACTGGTCTGATCAATATTCAGTAATTATCAATCATGCTAGTTCAACTAGAAATTAAACCAGGTCACTGAGTTTTTGTTGTGCATGACATGGTAATTTGTTAATAGTAGAATGTTTTATTGTTTATATCAAAATAAGACATATAAAACACTAATTAAATCTTTTTTTCCAAAATCCTATTTCAAATATATGTTAAGGGCAGTCAAATTTTAAATTTTTAGAATCCTTGGCATTAAAATGCTAGAGTCCTTAGGTGATATTTTCCCTGTCTTAAATATGTGGGGTCACATAATATATGTGGCATCCAAATGGCATCCAAGTCATAATTTAGGGGGGAAAAATTCCTCTCTCTCTCTCCACCTCCCTCCACAGCGAATCTTCTGGACCAGAACAAAACCCATCACCAATCTTACTCTGCCTCCAAACGTCAAAATCTCCGACAGCTTCTCCGAAAACTCTCCAGAATCTCCATCCTGATTGATTATTCTTCTCAGGTTGAACTGCAATCTTGTTTGGTGGTGCTGGTGACCTCATTTGTCAAGATCTGAATCTGGGGTTAAACCGTAGAATCTGAGAGAAGAACAGTTGAAACTCACTGGACTTTGGGGAATCCCTGGACTTGAACGAAATGGCAGCTTTCCCAAGACAGTGAACCCTATAAGGATAACATTAAGAGTAAAACTTAATCCTAATTAACGGCAAGAGTGATAATGATTCAGTTTTGATCGTTTAAGGGTAAGAATATGTCAAAGTTGACTTTAGGAGATGCTATCATGAAAATATAGTTACAAGATAAAAATAGATTTTAGCTCTTTAATTAATTATTATCACTTCCTCTCTTATATAAATACAAGTAAATCTATATTTTCAGTTTTTATATCATACTCATACGAATACTAAAATATAATTAAAAATAATTTTTAAAAACATTAAAAATATACAAATAAATCTACAAGAGCCTACTTCCTATGACATGCTTCGTTTAAATCTTGGTCTATAGCCTATTTATCAAAAAGACTATACCCGGTTCTTCAAGTGGGGGATAAGATAGAATATGAGATAATGGTTAATTAATATAATTAAAATTTATTTAAGATATTAGGATTATTCATTAGGGATATTTAAATATTGTTCAAAAGCTGAATACAAATGAGAAACTTTAAAACTATTTATAGAGCCCTAAAACTAATAAAATAATAATAACTTAAATTCAAATTTTAAATTCTAAATCTAAATATAATATTAAAAATACTAATATCTAAGATAATAATAAAATAAATAATAACTCCTGATTCTAATAAATAAAATCTTTATTTAAATATCTCTAATGAATAATCCTAATATCTTAAATAAATTTTAATTATATTAATTAACCATTATCTCATATTTTATTATTTTTCCACTGCTTGAGAACTCGTCAGGTTGCACAAATTAGTCAGGAAGGGGTGAGTAGGATAAAATTTCATCTATGTGCACAGATCTTGAAATCCTTTCCAACAAATGAGATAGTGAAAGAACAAATGCTGGCACAAGTGAGTAGTTTGACCATGTGAAATTTCTAAAAAAGCTTTTCAATAGATAGAGTTTTGTTGGATTTGAGTATTAAGCAATGGAATGACCTTGAGAGATGCGACATATAGATAAGGAATAGTTATAGTATAATGAGATTGACCCTTATTAGAAACAATTTGAGAATGAGCTACTTATACTGGTGTATAGTGGGTAACTTGATCATTGTCTAGAGAATCTTCTATTGGTAAGGAAGGAACTTCTACCATTGTTGGCTCACTTGATGCTTGTTCTTCCATTTGTTTCCTCAATTGATTGATCATTCTCTTAATTTCATATGTTGCCTCCTTAACTTCAACATAATCCCTCCGAAGCTTATCAAAATAACAATTCTGTTCTTGCTGAAAGCGATCCAGTTTAACTAAAATTTGGTCTATGTTCTCCTAAAAGTCAGCATATTCATAGTGGCAACAGGTACCATCCTCATATTGATAAACATAATCATGTTGGTAGCTATTAAGATGCTTATATTGTAGTTGGTTAATGTACTCATGCCGGTATTGATCTTCGTATACATATCGCTTATGATTAGCATACTTCAATTAGAGAAAGCGACACTTATAATTGTCACAATAAGTATGCTCATACTGTTGATGGCTTGTGTGCTTATATTGTTGCTCTTTATAACCATACTAATGGCTCTCTTGTCAATAAGTTTCTTACGACAAATAGGCATGTTGTTATTAATATTCATTATATGTGTACCGTTGAGCATAATCCTTTCACTGTTAAGTATATTGTGGTAAATCAGCATATTCATATTGATAATCTAAATGTGTGTATATGTTGTAGCTCATATATTGCCAACTAAGCCTAAATAAAGTTGAGACCCAATGGCCTCATGAGATGATTTGTAGCTTTGGAAAGATTTGAGAGAGTGGATTTCACGCGTAGGAAAGAGAAGTGAAACCAAGCTTTAGTATCAAATTGATGTAAAACGAGGAAAGGGAGAGGGGAATAGAGATAAAGAGAAAGGAGGAGGAAGAGAAAGAATGAGGGAGAAGGTTGAAACTCTCGAAAACTCTTATTCAATAATATTCAAAAGCTAAATACAAATGATAAACTCTAAGACTATTTATAAAGCCCTAAAACTAATAAAATAATAATAACTTAAATTCAAATTTCAAATTATAAATCTAAATATAATATTAAAAATACTAATATCTAAGATAATAATAAAATAAACAATAATTCTTGATTTTAATGAATAAAATCCTTATTTAAATAGCTCTAATAGATAATCCTAATATCTTAAATAAATTTTAATTATATTAATTAACCATTATTCCATATTCTATCACCTGGGCTCATATCTAAACTTATATATATATGTGTGTGTGTTCTAAAGACTGACTTAGCCTATTTCCATTACTTGCCAATACCTTTAGTTTTAAAAATAGAGAAGAAAAATGGAGCACCAACGGTGGTAGAAGTGTATTTGCATGGTGAGAGTAGAAGCTTCTATTTACTTTGGTAAATATAGAGTGCACATGCATGTGCAAGTGTGTGATCGTGTGTTATGTGAAATTTGAACTTGGTGACTGAATTTATTCTATGAGCATTTCACATGGCATAATAATGATTGTTTAATTTAATCAAGTGATTGTCAAATATTTTATCATATAATATTTAAAAAGTATTAAATCTTAAATTTTTAGAGGAAAATTTATTTCAATGACTTTTAAGTACTGATAAAATTTAACAATTATAATTAAAACATTCATCAAGTAAATGTATTTATAGGCTACTAATCAAATTCAAATCCGCGTGTGTGTTTTATAGACGTTCCTTAGACAATTTTGAAGGAAGATTATCTGTGTTACCTAATAGTCGAACCATTTATTTATTCGTTGAATTCAGGTCACTGAAGGACAACGAGTCTCTGGCCAAAACAAAAAAGGTGTAATGAGTCACTTTTATATAAGTTTGTGTCTTTATTATCTAGGTAACAATATCGACCTGAGGCCCTAGGCATAGTGTCGAAATTAGAAAAATGATATAGTGGGAACATAATTTATACATAAAATAAATATTAATATTTTATTAAAAATAATTTTAAATATATATATATATATATTAAATTAAATTAACGATAGAATTTAATTAAATTAAATATTGAAAAGTAATCAACGAAACATAAAATTATAATAACATAAAAATTATTCTTATATAAAAAATTTTTTGATCATTTTTTATAATTTTAAAAATTATTTTCTCATCAAGT